ATCATGATAAAGTAAAGGCAAGCAAGCATAGCTGGCATAAGCCGTCGTACTCTCACAGGTGCGGTCCAGGGGGAAAGAGGGGTGTGGTCCAGGGGGAGAGGGGGGTGTGGTCCAGTTGGAGAGGGGGTTGTGGTCCAGGGGGAGAGGGGGGTGTAGTCCAGGGGGAGAGGGGGGTGTAGTCCAGGGAGAGAGGGGGGTGTAGTCCAGGGAGAGAGGGGGGTGTAGTCCAGGGGGAGAGGGGGGTGTAGTCCAGGGGGAGAGGGAAGTGTAGTCCAGGGGGAGAGGGGGGTGTAGTCCAGGGGGAGAGGGGGGTGTAGTCCAGGGGGAGAGGGAGGTGTAGTCCAGGGGGAGAAGGGGGTGTAGTCCAGGGGGAGAGGGGGGTGTAGTCTAGGGGGAGAGGGAGGTGTAGTCCAAGGGGAGAGGGGGGTGTATTCCAAGGGGAAAGGGGGTGTCGTCCAAGGGGTAAGGGAGGTGTCGTCCCTCTCAAAAGGGAGGTGAGTGCGTGCGGGAGTGTGAGAGTACGACGGCTTGTGCCAGCTATGCTTGCTTGCCTTTACTTTATTATGCTATTTCTAGTATATGATAATTATATGCATGCATGAATTGCTTGATTACCTAGGCTAGGTGCTTTCCTATATTTTATTATAGTTATAGCACCGAGCTAGGTTGCGTGCACCGAATTCTGGCTTTTTGGTTGTTACCAAATTGCCTTCTACCGCATTCGGGAAGGCTCTGTTCGGGACACTTCGCGACCCTCTGAACCTTCGCGTAACACCTGGTTACTGGGCCTTGTGTCGAGCCTATATATAGCCTCGTGTTGTATCCAGGTGATTCATTCAATTCAAACTCTCTTTCCTGAGCTCGATCCTAGATCCTCACAAGGAGGGCCCTTGTCTCATGCTAGGCCTTCCCCGCTTTCTTCCCAACCTTAACACCCAACCATCACTACCTCTGCCCCGCTCTATGTCTCATGTTGCAGGTTGCCTCATGATGTATCGCTGGGATTATCGATGGCATCGTAGGGTCCGGCTGGGGTTTAGGATGGGAATTGAATAAGAGGACATCGACGATGAGGCTATGGAGGGATAGGCTGGGTCAACCTTCACCCATTCATCTCGAACCGCAAGGAACGGCAATGGTGTATCTCGTCGCTCAGTGGTTGCTAGCAGTTGGCGGCCCGTTCAAAGGGTGACCCGTCGTAGGGTGGTAGAGCCAACTGGGATGCCTCCACAGCTTTTCTATGCTAAGGAATGTTGGTCTCGCTCAGAGTTTGCCATCAAATTTTCGAAGCAAAGCCATGTGCTTTGACAGTGGGCCGTGTCTGAGCTCGATTCAGGGCAGGAGAGTTGTGATGCGGACGAGAGGGTTACTCTGTTGAGAGTGTCCTGCGTATCTGCCTTGGAAAGAGCACGACAGAGGATGCAGATGGGCAGCCTATAGTAGCTAAAAATCACCGCTTCCGTTGCTACATCGAGTACTCCAAATTGTTAGGGGACCACCCATTTGCACACGTTACATTGCCATAGCTGGTGTACGTTGTCAAAGGGTCACTTTCTCCTGAGCAAAGATGAAGGCTATGTGGGGTGTAGCTAGACAGATGTAGATTGGTTCCCGTCTTCAACAATCCCCAGCGAGATCGACTTCACCATGAGGAGCCCAGAAGTGAGCGTGGCGGAAGCAACCATGGTCGAGACACAAGAGTTGTGAGTTCGGTGAATATACATGTTGTAATCATTAAGTTTGTATATGTTTGCCATCACGTTTACTTGACAATGAACCACCTTCGCGAATATATACTCGGTGTATTCCCAAATGCTTATCCCGCTAGACCTTACATGCGGTATAGTGGTGTATTGTAATCCGATTGCTAGGGTGTAGGCTGCTGAAATGTATCAATGCCTGTTCTAAGAGGGTTTTAATAAATTAAGGCACAAAACTACCACACCAAAAGGAGACAAACCATGCTTGATGTGATGCATTATACCACCATAGACCAACGTAGCCTCTGCAATTCTCATTCCTATGATCTATAGCGCAACGCGTCGCACTCTTCCCAAAAAGGTTACTAGTAGCGCCACAAAGGCCCATGTCAAAGTTTGTACCACATGGATAGCTTAGGATATGTTTTGGCAAGATGTAAAACATAAATTGTGGGTCTGTAATTCTTGAGCACCCTTTCTCCTTCCACACTCTCTTCCATGCCATTTTTTGCTACCAAGAACTCCGCTGCCGCCTCACGTCAACTGCGCCGCACTCTGCCGATCAGCAATCTACCTCCGTGGGATGTGATGGCGGCGGGGAAAGGGGGCAGATGGCGAAGGTGGAAGGTAAGGTGATGGCATAGGGGGATGATAGGGGATGGAAGGAAAAAAAAAGGAGTGACCGCAAGGGCGTGATGAAAATGTGGAGTATATGATGAAAAGGTGATGGCAGAGGGGGGTGAGTGGGGTTGGGAGAGGGGAAAGGGACGTGTTGTCATTTGGGAGGGGGGGTGTATGGAGGAAGCGTCAAGGCACTTGGTTGGCGATAAGAAGGTGATAATGCGTGTTAATTTTGTGTATGGTGATGGCTGGGGGAGAAAATGGGATATGGAAAAGTGCATTGAGAGAAAGATTGTTGATCATATGAACGGTGATGGCTGGGAGAAAAGAGAGGAAATGTCTGGTGATGGCAACGGGAGATGACCGATGATGACAACGGGGGATGGGAGGAGGTGGTTAAAGGGGAAGAGAGTTGATAGAAGAGGATGGCGGGAAGTGAGGTCAACGGCGAAAAGGAAGAGATGGCGAAGGGGGAAGGTAAAGTGATGGTATAGGGGGATGATATGGGATGGACAGGGGAATGAGATAACAATGGTTGATTATATGAGTGCCCTTGGTAGAGAAGAATGAGGAGGTGATTGTCAGAATATTATCTTATTGTTCTAGCCTGTAGTGGGGTGCTCTATAGCGAGTACAACTCTTCTAGGGTTTGCTATTTGTATCCTCATTCTTGCTAGTTCAATCCTCTTTCTTTCTTCTAATTTTGTCAGTGATTGCAATGGGAGATGAATGATGGCTAATAGGGATGAGAGGAAAGGGGATGAGAGGTGATGGCAATGGGATATAAAAGGTAATGGAAGTGGGAAAAGAATGGTGATCTCACGAAGGGGACGAGAGGAGGTGGCAAAGGGGGATAAGAGGTGATGGAAAATGTGGGCAGAAGGTGAGGTGCGGGGGGAAAGGGAAGAGATCACCAAGGAGAGGCAAGGTCATGGCATGGGGTGATGATAGCAGAAGGAAGGTGGACGAAGATAATGGTTGTTGATTACATGCATGGTGACGGTTGGGGGAGAAAAGAGGATGTGTGAGGTGATATGCATGATGATGGCAAGGAGGAAGATATGATGATGGCAAGGGAGAAGATATGATATAGCAAGTTGGATGAGATGATGGCAATGGGAGATGGGGGGTCATGGTAGGGGGGTAAATAAGGTGAAGGAAGCGTCAAGGCAGCTTGTACGTGGGTGTTAGGAAGACTTACTAATCGACACCATACCGCCAAATCCGGCGATACCTGATTGAGATTAGGTTCCAAGGTCATGCGTGAAGTCCACAAATCTGTTGCAAAGAAAAACTGTTATGAATGGGATAACAAGTATAAAATACTCCTCATAGGTCAATTATAGAATCTATAGCAAACCATAAGTCCATACCGCGGGGGAATTCTGCGTTGTCTTTTGCACGAAGCCCGATCGTCTCGTACAATGACTTCATGCCGGCGACGGGTGGGACGTGTTGCCTGGATTAAAGATATTATGGTCACAGATCACAAAGATAAAAAATGATATCATTAAACAAAATGATGTAGATATGCATCCAAATGAAAAAAAACAAAAACAAGGTGATTACACGCCCTACCATTGACCGAGCGGTAGCGTCCGTCGGACTCAATTGGGCCGCGCGCGTTGCTGCGGGTACGAAGTCGTGTACATGCCCCCGAAGAGGAGTCACACATGCTTGCAGGGCTCGTGAAGACGAATGCATCGGATGTTGGGGTCAGCGGTGAAAATGGCGTGCGCGTCTGAGCACAACTACCAGCGCGGGTTGGCGTCGAGGGAAGTCGAACGGGAGTGGAGATAATATGAGGCGCCATGTTCTCGTCCGTTAGGAGCGCTCCCAACCTCACTGCAGCCTCTTCTATTTCTCTAGTAACCACCTTGACTCCTGCCACGTCCTCTTCGCCCTCCCCCACCCCGTCCTCCACCTCGCCCTCCACCTCGTCCTCCACCTCCTCCCCCACATTCACTTCCCCTCCCCCTTGGTCTTCGCATCCAGTGCTCCCTGCTTTGCCTCCACGCTCCCTTATCTTTCCCCATCGCTCCAAGACCTCATCCACCCAACGCCAATCCATTGGACCAAGTACCCTATCTTTCATTACACGCCGCACTCGTGTTACCTTGCGTACACGTGTTCGCCACTCCTTGAGAACCCTCTCCACCGCGTGGTTCCAATGAAGCACACTCAAAGCCAACAGAGCCTCCATACTAACAAGAAACGCTTTACATTTCGGCGCGTATTTCGGGACCAACGAGTGAAATGACTCGTTAAGCCAGTTTGATGCCCCTAAAACGTATGTTGCCATCGGACATGTGCCACAGTTGACCGACAGCCACTTCTTGAACGCCAAGTGAGTCGCCGAACCCGATTCATACAGCGCACTTTCCTCCCCCTAGCGTTCCCTAACACAACGTGGAACCACACCATCTCGCTGACACCTCCTGTGTATGCCTGCCCAATGATCACCACACCCGCCAATCTCATCTGCCATTTCTTGAGGAGTCATTGGATGACCTTCTTCTGTCTTGGTTACAGCGCGCATCATGCAATGGTGGAAATGAATGCAGAAGCGTTGACCAACAGACACATCCGCCATTTTACCCTCCGTGTCGTCACTGCTACACCCCTTATGAGCACGTCTTCGCTTTCTAGTCTTTCTCTCCTGCCACCTTGGGGTACGACTCACAACAACATGCTCCGACGATCCAGGCTCCCCCACCACTCCAGGCTCCGCGCCACTTCTGGATCCCCCACCACTCCACCCTCGCCCGCCACTACAGGCTCCCCTGCCACACCATGCTCCCCCGCCACTACAGGCTCCCCCACCACTCCAGGCTCCCCTGCCACTCCTGGATCCCGCACCACTCCACCCTCTACCGCCACTTTAGGCTCCCCCGCCACGCCGGGCTCCTCCGCTACTCCATGCTCCTCCGCCACTCCAGGCTCCCCCACCGCGCGTCCTTCGTCCTCCACTACAGGCTTTCCCGCGACTCCATGTTCCTCCGCCACTTCATGTTCCTCCGCCACTTCAAGCTCCTCTGCCTGCTGATCTCGCCCCATCTCTGGACCCGACTCCACTCCGTCAGAATGTCCTCAAGAAAATGTGCAACACATTAGGGACGAATGATCTTTCATTCAGTGGAATTGGAGCGTTGCTAATTTTGGAATACAAACTCACCACAAGTCATAATATCGATGTCCTCTATGTGACACATAGACTCAGCCGCCTCCCTGATAAAATCGTGAGTGATGTTGTCCCGATCTGCATGTGTAGGATGCGGATCAAAGTCAAACGGGGTATCAACGTCGACCCACTTGATCCCCAGAATTCGAACAAACTCGTCGGTTTCCCCACCGGCAGCTCTCACATCAGGAGGTGTTGAATCGACGTTTCCGTCTCCTATACCCTCCACTAAGCTCATGTTGCCCTTCCATCCCCCCCTCTCGCTCCATGCCCCTCCGTCGTTTTGCCGGTGGTACTACCGGCTTCGCCCTGACTCTCAGCACCTTCCGCATCTCCAAGAATGCCCATATTGTGAGCAACCTTTGCCGATTCGTCAAAATGAATCCTTCCCAGTTTCGCACAAACGTGGTTGATCAGTGTTTTTTAGTTGACCGCGTACTCACACCTTTCCCCGCACCCCAGTTTAGCTTCAGCCACTCCAACAACTCCTTCTGGGAAACCAACCATAACTCAGAACATGACTTGGCCTTCTCCACTGTCATAGTACCTACTTGTGCCTCCACAAAGTCCATCTCACACAGCCTCGTCAATGCTCGACATTTGTGCCAAACGTATATCTTATGGTTGATGTCCGTACCAACCAATTCCCTCTTGAATGAGGCTCCATCATCACTTATGATCCTGGTCACATTGAACCCCCACTTTTTCAATTTCTTCAACCAAGCTTGAATGCAACCCCTTCCAACACTGTCGATGACTTTCCCTCATCTTTTTTACATACTGTCACAGTCAACAAAATTTCCCGTGAGCGTGGATCCGTGAAAGTGACTGTGCACCACTGCGCCTCCCGTGCCTGTGACCAACGCCCATCCACAAAAATGTATCCATCTCCATGTTTGCGCAGCTGCATGTCTCGTCAGGCTTTGGTCATGCTCTCTTCACCATGAACGATGATAGCCTCCCACAAATCGTACGGCCATCGCATGTAACGGTTGAAGGTCTCCCTCCCAATAGACCTAAACCTAAGTGTCCGACTAACCTCCGATAGCTGTTGGAAGCATATTCCTGCCATAACAAATGCCCTCAGGAACCGCGAAAAAAGCAAGGAGATCTTTGGGCACTGTTTGCCTAAACCCCTAGTGACTTTGCCCCTTTCAATAGACCAAAACTGTATAGCCTTGCCACGCGTATCATAGACCCACAAGACCCCCAACGTCGCTCATGCCATCTTGCACGAGCGCACGACCAATGAACCGTTACACGGGGTCATCTAACAACATACCACTCCCAGACTCATGAAGAATTGTAACAATACAATGGGGTCTAGCAGACATACCGCCCTTTGAGGCGACCTACGGCAGTGCTAGCCGACAAAGGTCAGGAACGAGCGAGCGCCTTTGATAGGGGTGCTCCAGCACGTTCTGCTGTTAACCTGTAGTGGGGTCGAAATGTAAATGCAGTGGAAAGATGGTAAGTCTTGAATCGGTGATGCCGTTTTATATTGAGCGAGATTGTACAATTTATGAAGTTACAAGCATTTTACCCAAACAAGCTAGGGACGCTCTTGTACAAGGCCACACACCCAGCTTATCTAAAAAATAGCACATACCCATCAAGCTGGGGCCAGATTGCAGCAGTAAAGGCAGTTGCCCTATCGCTCGGACGCTCCCGCTCGGATGCCCTTCCAGCTCCATCCCCCTCATCGTGTCCATCAACAATGGGGCCATCCCCTCACCCAACCCTCTCCCCTCTTCCACATGCCCCACATCGTCCACCGGGGCAAACTCCTCCACATTAATCTCACGTACCACAAATGGCGGATCCATAACGGGAGATCCTCCATTCCCACTTACATCATGCTCTCCTCTTGAAGCAGTTGTATCATGTCCAAACGTTGCATATGAGATATGGCACACGGGCATGATTTGATATAGGTAAAACCTTTACAAACAAGGTGGAGTGCAAGTTGTGAGCCCCACAAAATCAAGATAAGTCACATGTCATTCGAGTGGGGCAGGGATGCGCAAGACAACTTGAACAAAAATCTTCATGCGACAGTATGCCAGTGTAGCGTTTCCCCATGTGGTTTGTGAAACACACCTTGACATGGACATACCAGCATCGTGTAGTGCTTGATATGCCGGTCCCCGCCGGTCACCTCCATGGCCATGTCCATTATCCGGCACAAGCACACCGTCCTCGTTGAGATGGTAGGTATCGAACTCATAAACGAAGCCGCCCAATGATAGCGGCTTCCTCATGAGAAGTTGCGCCTCGTCAACATTTTCCCCCGGTTGGCTCATGAGGAAGGATGCTCGCTGTGCTACCAATTGTAACTTTGTCTGAGCTTTCACCAGGGCGCCATTCCCATCTACCATAAGCATCGAGGTTTGGGCATGTAAGATTGGTGTTGACGAGTTTCATTGTACAAACCATTGGGGCGCAATTGTATCAAGGTGACACTTACAACTATCTGTTGCTGCATTAATAAGCTTCACAACGACATCAGATGCTGAAATTATGAGGACGTGCAGCACATCGTTAAACGATGCCTCTCTCCCCACCCGTGCCGATAAACCGCACCACATAATGGTTACAGGGAGGACAGACTGTTTCCCCAGCCCCACATGCATTTGCTTAACACCCCCCATGATGTTTTTTAGTGCTTTTACAATGTCTCCCTCTTGTTCTTACGACCACATGCCAATTTCATATGCTAGTACTTGTAGTATTGTTACATGCAGCATCACACAACACGGACCACTCACCTTGGTGCCATTATGACCCACTGCAAAAATGTTTGTTAGAGGAAACTCCACAATCGGAATGGTGTTGTCGTGTGTGGCCTGCTGGGAGGAACAATGAGAGGACCTGCGCGCTAGGTTATGCCATCTCTAGCGACATTAGTCACTCCCTTTACCTTGACCTAATCACCATCCCAAAACCCCCGTTTGACAATACCTATTGTCTCATAGCACCGACTTTTCCCAACTTACAGCACCTCCCATCCACTTCTCACAGCACCTCCTTTCCCCCTCTCACATCACCTCCCTTCCCCCTCTCACAGCACCTCCCTTACCCCTCTTACATCACCTCACTTCCCCCTCTCACAGCACCTCCCTTCCCCCTCTCACATCAACTCCCTTCCCTCTCTCACAGCAGCTTCCTTCCCCCTCTCACAGCACCTCCCTTCCCCCTCTCACATCACCTCCATTCCCCCTCTCACCGCACCTCCCTTCACCCTCTCATAGCACCTCCCTTCCCCCTCTCAATGTGTGCGATGACCGATCATTGGAATGCAGTGATGGTCACGCTGGAGACGTTAGCAGCTGGAAAGAGAGGCCCTGGAAACTAGAGGTTGAGGGCGGCACAAGCAAAGAAGCGGGGTGTCAGGGAAAGTGTGAAGCGGGCTCTCAGAGACGCCGGAGGTGACCTGGTAGTGCTGCTTCCATGACTGACATCCATTTTACGGGCCTACTCACGAAAAGAGAGGAAAAGGATCAAGGCGACTAGGGTACACCTGGAACAAGAGATTGAGTTTTTTTGGAGACAATTGTCACGGAACCCAGACTGCCTGCGCACGGGAGCTATCCTGCTAAAAAAAGAGAGCTTCTAAATGCATACGAGAAGAGTCACATGGAGAACCTGCAGGCGTGGGCTCGCATAAATTCAGAGCTGGATGGGGAGACGTCGTCCGGTTTTCTGTCCGGAAAGATTAAGACGCGGAAATCCAGGACGGGGTTGCATGAGGTCAAGGGGCAGACCTATGCTAGGGCGAGGGAAGTACTCACAGCGGCGACGGATTTCTTTGAAGAGTCGTTCGGTGGTGGGGACGAGGCTGACGCTGAAAGCACGGAACCGGGTCTTCTGCAGCGCACCTTGGGGAAGGCCAGCAAGGAGGCACTCAAGGCGCCGTAGTCGGAAGAAGAAGTGCAGACGGCGATCCAAGAACTGGCTCCAAGGAAGGCGCAGGGGCAAGACGGTCTTCCGAAGGAGTTATTCGAGCACAACTGGGATCTGCTTGGGCCGTCGCTGATACATTTCGTGGACAGTTTCACCCGCACTGCAAAGCTCCCCAGTAGCGTCTCGACGGCGGTTACCATACTGCTGCATAACAAGGGGAGCAAAGAAGAGTTAGGGAACTATAGTCCAATATCCCTGCTCAGCACCGTCTACAAGGTGTTGGCAAAGGTGTTGGCGACAAGGCTTAAGAAGGTGTTGCATGAGGTAATCTCGGATGACAAAGTTGGTTTTCTACTAGGGCGGAGGCTGGCAGACGCGGTTACGGTCGTGGCTGGCGCCATTGAAGCAGGGGCCAGCGGCAGAGAGGATTGGTACCTGTTGATGGTTGATTTTAAGAAGGCATATCGAGGCCCTTCCTTTTCCGCACGTTGAGGAGTATGGACATCCCGAAGGAGTACGTGACATGGGCAGAAGGGCTGCATAGGGAGACAAGAACGAGGATGCACGTGAACGGCTGGAATTGGGATACAGTTGCGGTAAAGAGAGGGGTGCAGCAGGGTTGTCCCTTGGCCCCTTACCTTTTCCTTTCGGCGGTGGAGCTGCTATGTCAGGAGCTGGCGAAGTGCAAGCTGGGGTGCGGAGCAGCTGTCAGTCGCGGCAGGCGTATTGGACGACTTCGGCAAGAAGTCGAGGCTGAGGGTGAACCAGGACAAGACGGTGGTGTTTCCTTTGGGGAAAAACAGGGGGAAACCGCCGCCGCCAGATCTGCAGTACAAGTGGGTCAACAAAGGAGAACCGGAGCGCCTTCTAGGTCTATGGATCATGCCAAATAGAGACCTGTTGCCATCCTGGGAGAAGGCATTGGACAAAGCACGGAAGGAATTAGCCAAGTGGGAAGTGCAACATCTGACGACATCGGCAAGAGACACGATCGTAAATAGATACATTACGCGGGTTTTCATGTTCTGAGCATACATCTACCCGCCTCCGGAGGAGATTTGGACGATAGTCAGGTGGATCTGCCACAGATTTGTGTCAGGAGGGCAAGCGACAAATGAGAAGGTTTTCATTCTCTGGAACAACGAGGTGATGTGTACACCCAGAAAAGAGGGAGGGCTGGGGATGCTATGTCATAAGAAGAGGTTCGTTAGTGTGGCGATCCAGAACGTGGGACTGATGCTGCAAGAGAACCCGGTTAAGAAGTGGTTGACATCATGCGCAGTCGCGATGCCCCAGGGTCCGAATACGTTCTTCGTGCACAAGTCCATGTTTAAACACTGGAAGGAAGGGAGGTGGAAGGAAATAACGCGAGCTTTCTGGGATTCGCCTTTCTGTGTGCCTCCTGAACCAGCAAATTGGTGGGAAGTGGAGTGCGAATGGCTTGCGTTCAACCGGCGCATACCTTTCAGAGGGGCCAGTCCCTTCGAGAACCAGAAGGGCTTGAGCTGCTTACTGAATTTAACGATGGGGGACCTGGTGCAGCGGCTGGGGAGTGGAGAGCGGGAGCTCAAAAGTGAGGAGGCACTGACGAGGGAGCTCGGCAGCAAAGATGTGGCGAAGCTGGCATTGAAAGCTTTCG